GCCTTTCCTCTGAGTCTGTTCAGTCTTCTCAATATCAAGTTTCTGTAATCCATTTTCATGTAATTAAGGGTGTGCGTGCACCAAGTCATTTATCTTTCAGTATTGAACTGTTTCATCAATTGCCCACATATCCAAACCTACAGCTGAGAGTAGTTTCTCATATCTCAAAATATATGACATTATTTCAGTATAGTTTTCACTCTGTTTGCTGCCTGATGAATGATGTCTCATGTAATCTGAGGTATGTCAAAAACAGTGAGAAAACATTTACTGGTATTTGAATTTACATTTTCTTGTTTGGAAAGAAAATGTTTCAAACCTTCGCCAGACCTTTCAATCCCACTTGAGCTATTTGATATAAATGAATCATAAGTGGTGACACTCTTTTCCAGTCAATTTTGCAAGTAAAATCTAGTCCCAGAACTCTCAAAAGCATCTATAATCTCTCACATGAGAAATACTTAATTGCAGCCAACTAGTTTCAGTAGATGCACTGGTTTGTCTAGGAATTTTCTGTGAAAATGTGTTCATTTGAAATCTCTATTCTTCTCACTCCACTTTGAAAACATGGATCTAAAAGAAATTTCTGAAAGACTGAGATACCAGTTAACTAGAAAGCAAAACTTAAAACAGAAATTGGAATTTTTTTTTTATATTAATTGCCAGTCTTCCTTTTTATGGAGGTTTGAATGCAAAATCAGTCTCATGTCTCATCTGAACAAAAGTATCTTGTCAGTTGTATGAGAATTTCTAGCATTTCAAACTTCTACATATTTGCAATATAACCTATTTTTTGTCATGGGGAAAAAGAAAAACCATCTAGAAATTGAAACTTCAAACATTGTTTTTCTCAAAAGTAGTAATATATCTGTAGTTATCAGTTACTAATTTTCACTTAATAGCCAGCCTGTTGCAGCTGGAAAAGTTACACTTTCATCCTTGAAGAAATACGTCCAAAAAAGAGGGCATGAAAATAAAAAATAATTCCTTCAAAACTTCTTAGGTTTTTTCTTTTCATTTAGTGTACCCTTGCTTCCATCTCTTTAGCTGACCAAAGGGACTGAGGTTCCTCTTGAATCTGATTTGAGAGGAGGCTGTAAGGGCTTTGGAGCTAAAACCATGGAATATGTTATTTTGTTGAATGGAGCAATTAGTTACAATCTATTTACAATGGCCTTTTGTTCTTAATTCACTCAGGGGTTACTGGAAGCTCCTTCTAACATGTATTTCTTTTCCACAGCTGCTTGTCAGAGAGAACATATTCTAAATGCGCAAGGTCCTTTGGGCGTTAAAGGCATGCTAAGCATTTAGCAGGACATGAAAGGGATTTGGTGAAACTAGGAGGCAAATTGTGCTCCTGGTTATGGAAGTGAAGTGAGGGGGTGCATTGGGGAAGAGCAGTCTGCAAATTATTCTGACATTATCTTGGGTGCAACTGATCCCATTCTACAAGTTAAATTTTGTACTCTACTGTTCATAACAGCCAGTGTTAGTTAAAAGCTCTTTGATGGAAACTTTCTGATAAATTTAGCGAGTTTAAATCAAATATTTAGTTATTTTCCATGTTCAAAAAAAAGTGTATTGGTTGTGATGGGGAACCAACTGGTTCTAGAAACTATCCATTCAGTTAATCAGAGGAAGAGAGAAAAAAAACCAAAACATGTGGAACTGAAGATGTGAAGGGTAACCAAGGTGCTGGGGCCGCCTGTGTGACTGCAGGGTGTGCCATCCCTCCTCTCCTCTAGGCAAGCAGCTCAGATTGGGGGAAAAAGTGGCAGAGAGCGTGGTGTGATATGCTCAGTTCCATGAGGTTTCTCTGTGAGCAAGACAGTTGTAGACAGACTTTATGCTGGCCTCAGGAGCAGAAATGGAAACTCTGAAGTGACAACCCCATGCCAGGGAGCTGCTGGAGCAGTGCCAGGCATTCC